CAAAATAACAACACAATTAAAGAACTATATAGCAACCAAACCAGCAGATGCTTAACGAAATGAAAATATAAATAATTGAACACTGAACTAATTGAACCAGCAGCAGATGCAACCAAACCAGCAGATGCTTAACTATATAGCAACCAAACCAGCAGATGCTTAACTATATAGCAACCAAACCAGCAAATGCTTAACTAATTGAACACAGAACAATCAATACAAAATTAAAAAAAAATTAATAAAATTTGGAACATGCTTAACTAATTGAGCCCTAATTAATACAAATTAGGAAGATGCTTAACTAATTTAGCCCTAATTGAGCCCTAATTCATATAAACCCTAGGCATGCAAAGAGTTATAATTTATCAATAAAATTCTTAATTGTTGACATAAAAATCAAATTCAAAGTTCATTAGCACCAACCAAATACTAAATTTTGAAAATTTTCGAATTCAAAAAAAATATCCAAATTTTTGAAAAAAAAATCCCCAAATTTCGAATTCAATAAAAATTCAAAATGTTGAAAAAACTCTCCAAAATCTTACCTTGTTTACTGTTATAGACCCTAATTTCAAATTCAGCCCTAAATTAAAAAAATCCTAATTTTCGAATTCAACATCTAAATTGAAATAAAACCCTAAAATTATGAACAAAGCCCAAATATCATAAATTACCTTTGAGCTCGGTAATGCCTTCGTGGGTGTCGATGAGGACGGTTTGCATGTAGATTTTTTTTGGAACCGATCATGTCTTCACAGAGATGCGAACGGGAGTGACACAGAGAGAGAGAGAGAGAGACGAAGATGGAAGGCGATGTTGATGAACGAAGAGAGAGCAGAGAAGGGGATGGCGATGGCGATGGCGATGGCGATGCCGACGAACGAACAGAGAGAGCAGAGATGGATGGCGACGGAATCAAATAGAGAGAGAGCAGAGATGGATGGAGAGAGATAGAAGAGAAGGGGACGAAGAGAGAGAGAGACTTAAAATGAATTAAAAGCAAAAAAATTAAATGAATAATAATAACATAACTTTATATAGGGGGAGTCAAATGGAAAATGTAAATTAAGGGAAGGGAGTGCAGTGGAACTTTATTTGCAAGGGGACTGAACTGGAAGTTCATTATAGGAGGGGGGATTTAACTTGAATTTGCCGAATAAATGGAATAAAGAGCAATATATAACAATTTTATAATAAAGATTTTTGAAAGCATGTATATATAGACCACAACTGTTCTAATTTCACATGATGTGAAAGTTTCTTCTTCATTGTTTCCCTTGGCAGATAACCGAAAGCAGCTAAATCTTGTCGGCTCATGGATCCCATGATCCCAAAACGTCGTAAACTTGCCGAGATCGATATAATTACCGGACAAAATTCGTTGCAAAATCCTCTCTTTCCTTCCCACAAAATTTGCCGTCGGCACGATCATCCTTTCCACAAAGTGGAAAAACTTGCTGCCTTTCGTACCCAACCTAAAGCTCCAACTAAACGACTCGTTACTCCTCGACCGGAAACCAAACTCCTCGACGACACAACTACAGAGCTTCGTAAAATTCGCCGACAATCTACTCAATGTCACCCTCCGTAAAGCCATCTCCGTACAATCCCTAGTCGTATTCTGCAAAAGGCTCGACGATGCACGTCCTGTCGCCGCCTGGATTTCCTCCGCGTTGCTCCTCGGCATACAGAGATTGGACGTCCACATCAGCAGCCGGCTCAGGCACCCGTCCGCTTTGCTCCACAGCCTTAATGGGTCCAATCTTGGTGCACTTTACCTGTGGGTCGATCTCGGGCCCAGGCCCAACCCAATTCCAAATGGGCTCGTTTTCAGTTTCCCCAAACTAAAAGTCCTAGCTTTCCACTGCACGAGTTTCAAACTTGTTAACTCGGTTTTATCGGGCTGCCCTGTGCTTGAGGTCTTAGTCGTGAACTGCGATCCTTCTTGCTTCCAGGAAGAAAGGCTTTTGATACGTGTTCCTTCGCTTAAGGTTCTGTGGTTGCGTAACACGATGAACGTTATTTTCTGCGTGCTCCAGCTCGATTCCCCTGGCCTTTTGCACTTCTATCATTATGGGTACATGCCGGTTTTTTATCCGGCTATGAAAATGAGGTCCCTTTCTGTGGCCCGTCTGAATGTTAACGAAA